CCCACATCCCCTTCCACCTCCCCCCAATAAAACTCACACGTACAAATTTCTCCCAATCCGCAGGAATCAACAATTACCCCATCGAGTAACTCCTCTCGAAACAAAGTCGCTTTAGCTCACTTGGGAGAGCGCCAGACTGAAGTCCACTCAGTCACGAAAATTGATACATCTGGAGGTACTGTGTTCGATCCACAGAAGCGACATGTCACACTTGTGTAGAGCTTCCGTGCCTGGTTTAGCTGGGATTACGTGAACGTCTTTTTTTTTTGTCTTCTGCTTGCTTGGGGTTGGACTTTTTGTTTTGTTAGGGGGTTTTGAGGGAGTCTGGGTCTGGTGGGTTGAGGATTGGGAGTGGAGATGGGGATTATGCGTTCAAGGGGAATAGGTGGCGACAGTAGTGGTATCAATCGTGATAAATTTTAGGATAGGTATCGTTTAGCACATGTCATTTTTGTTTTCGCCCGCAGAAGTTGCACAGGCTACTTTTTCATATTCAATCGCCGGACTCCAAGGCTCCTCCCAAGTGTGGATGAAGCTCCCTGTTCCCCCTCTCCTACCCGTATGCAGTTTGTTCGTTCGCACTTTCGTTCACTTCGTTTAAAACTCGCCATTGAGCTTCACGCCCGCGATACCGTTGGCGATGCCCTCAGCGCTCAATCCGTTTGCCGCGCCGCTCTGGTAGTCCTTGGTGATCTCGTCCAGCATACCCGCGGACGCAGCGATGAAGCCCAGATAAGGCCGGCTGGGATCCAGGACCCTCGAGAGGTACTCCGGGTGGAACTGCACACCAACGAACCACGGGTGATCCTTGATCTCCACAACCTCCATGCGCACGCCCTCTTCGTCCTTGCCGACAAAGTGGAGACCGCCTTGCTGCAGCTGGTCGATGTAGCTGGGGTTGACCTCGTACCTATGTCTGTGGCGCTCGAGGATTTGGTCGCTTCCAGCGTACAGCGCGCGCAGCTTACTCCACTCGCTGCCGGGCTGGAAGAGCGTGGGTCGGAGACCGAGACGCATAGAGGCACCCATGGTCGTCTTGTCCACCTCAGGCATGAACATGATGAGCTTGTTCGCCGCATCACCGTTGAATTCCTCAGATGTGGCGTCCTTGATGCCACAGACGTTGCGCGCGTACTCGATGACGGCGATCTGCATGCCCAAGCACACACCAAGGTAGGGCTTCTTGTTCTCACGAGCCCAGGTTGCGGCTGCAATCATGCCTTCTGTCGCGCGCGAGCCAAAGCCGCCAGGGACGAGAATGCCGGATGCTTTTACAATCTCGTGCCACGCGCTGTGGAACTTTGCGGGATCGCTGTGTTGCATCTTCGGCTCGAGGTGGTCGCTGTCGACCCAGCGAATGTCGAGTTTACGGCGGCAGCGCATGGTTGCGTGCTCGAGGGACTTGACGACGGAGAGGTACGAGTCTTGCAGCTCAACGTACTTGCCGACCAGGGCAATTGTGACGGGGTCGTGGTAGCGGGTGTCGTTCCCTGTGAGGTGCTGCCATTGTGCCCAGGTCTTGTGGCCCTTTTGTGTCATGGCTTGTGGGATGGTGATCTTGTCGAGAGCGAGGAACTGGCGGACGAGGGGAATCAGCTTCTGCTGCTCGAGGAGCATGGGAACCTGGTAGATGGAAGGCATGTCCTTGACGACGACGACCTGCTCGGGCTCGACTTGGCAGAAGTTGGCCAGCTTCTCGATGACCGAGGGCTCGAGTTCGCGTTCGCAGCGGCAGGCAATCTAGGCGGTCAGTTTCCTGCTTGACTTGCACGTTGACATGAAGAACTTACGAGATCCGGAATCATGCCGTTGCTTCGTACGGTCTTGATGGCGTGCTGTGTGGGCTTCGTCTTTTGCTCTCCGTGGATAATGGGCACGTACGAAACGTGAATCTGCATGAAGTTGTCCCTGCCCGCTCGCCTTCTAAGCTGAGCCATGGCCTCGACAAAGGGCATGCTCTCCATATCACCGACGGTACCACCGAGCTCGATGATGCACACATCCGGCTCCTCGCCCGTGTCGTCGACGGGTATGCGCGCAACTTTCTGAACCCACTCCTGGATGGCGTCGGTGATGTGCGGGACAACCTGCACCGTCTTGCCCAGGTAGTCGCCCTTGCGCTCACGCTCGATGACGTGCTGGTAGATCTTGCCAGTGGTGATGTTGTTGTCGCGGGTAAGGGTAATGTTGAGGTAGCGCTCGTAGTTGCCGAGATCGAGATCGACTTCACCGCCGTCAGAGAGGACGAAGACCTCGCCGTGCCTGCGCTCTGCTTAGTATGGTGCTTGAAGCCTCGAGTGCACGAGTGTAGGGCTCGGCGTACTCCTTGGGATTCATAGTTCCCGCGTCAACATTGAGGTAGGGATCGATCTTGATCGAGGACACGTGCGCAGGCTGTCAGCAAAGCCTGGGCTCCTTTCTGTCGCCGGCACTTATCTTGAGGCCGATCGTTTTGAGCAGCAGACCGGTCGAGGAGGCTGTGACGCGTGGGGTAAGTATCTACACCAGAGAACTGCTCTGCTACACGAAGTCGTCTTACCAATAATGCCCTACATGCTCAGGTCAGTTCTACAGCCAGAAACCTCATCTTCTACACGCTTACCTTCCCCACGCCGCTGATCACACCACCTGACACTAGCACGTACTTCATGATTGCTTTCAGTGCCCGGGCTGCGGTTTGGGGAAGGGAAGGAAGAAATCTCAAGGGTCGCGGCGCGTCACAAGAAATTTGTAGCGTCCGCCCACTTCGGTCGGTACTGGTGGGGCATCGCGCCGCCGAAGCTAGTCTAGTTGATTGGGCCAGTCAAGTCAGCCGAGCCCGCCGTCTGCAACCGTCCATCCCCATCATCGTCCTCACTCACACCGTCCTGGTTGCTGCACCTCATTGCCGTCGGTTGTGGACGTGTCTTGAAGCAATCGAGCTCAGCTGCGCAAGAATCTATTGTTTGCAGAACACAGGCTATCAAATGGTATCATGCGCGATGCTCTGCCAACTCCCAATGCCCTACTCCACAGCAGCTGCGCAAGCAAGCACCGCCGCAATGGGTAGAAAGTACGCCATTCATCATGTCGTGCAATGCCAATTGATATCCGCAGAAAATGCTCCAAATATCCAGAATATGAATGTACCGCCCAGTACTGAGAAGAGAAGAGGCTAGCCCCGGTACACGGCACGCTTGAAAAAAAGTAAAGGATGGACAGGCTGACGAAACGCCTCACATCCTGCGGCGCCGCTTCATCTCCTCGTCCTCGTCGTGCTCTTGGCTAGCAGTGAGACGTTTGCGAGCAAGTGCTTTTTCGTTGCCCTTCTTCACCTGTATGTTGCAGCCCTGCAACTTGAGCGCTCTGGTGAGCGCGCTGCTTGGGCGCATGCCAGGGAAGTCTTTGGCTGTATACACGGTGAAGACGTCGCTCATAACTTCTGTCAGTATGGGCGAAGACCCTCCCACGTGCAAATTCATAGGGTCGATGCGCATGAGCACGAACCGAAGTCGGTATCTGCCATGTGTGCGACACGACAAGTCAGGGAAGCAGAAGAAGCACCCTTCGTGGTCGTGCTCATCCTTGGCAACAGAGGGCGAGGCTACCAGCTGGCCCATGAGTCTGCGCGTGGTTCGTCGATCCGGCTGTATGAGCGCCGTCTCCTCGTTGGTTCCGTCCGCATTCCACAACGTGCAATGCACCACGTTAAGCGAGTATCGGAGCTCCTCTTGTTCGGCAATGCCGGTCTTGGGATCCGTAACCAACAGCTGGATGATGGGTGGCGGATCGATTACCCGTCGATCGCGTTCTCCAAACCCACACGCTCTGGCCGCTACGGGCTGCTGTCGCACACGAAGCTCAAAGTTGAGATTTCTGCGCGTGTCAGTTGATCTCACGTGTGCATAGGGGTGCGGAGCATGCTCACAGTTGCTCGTTGTAGACAGGCTGCGGTATGGATCCAGGTAGTGGGACCGCACGAACCTCTTTCCGCGCGTGAGGTCCAGGTGCATTGGGTTCGGGGTACGCTGCCGGTGCCAAGGGAGCTGCTACAGATCCTCGCTGCGAGTGCGAATAGGAGCCCACTGACCCACGGAATGTGCTGCTCGAGGCATAGCTGGGCGTGTATCCAGGTGACGGGAGCGGGGCATAGTGCCTTTGCTGCGAGGGCTCGATTGGGGATGCAAGGGACGAGTATGGCTGCTCGTGTGGTGCGTGATGCGTGTGCCGTGGTTCCTCGTAAGTCGAGTAGCGTTGCTCGTTCAGCCGCCGTGGATCTCTGTTGTCGTATTGCGAGCGAGGAGATACTGGTGCATAGTGCTGGGGAGAGTAGGGTGCTTCTGACCGAGGTGGTGTATACGGGTCTGGGTGATGAAGGAGCTTGCTGACGGGCGCTGCCGGTCTGTAGTGTGCTGCAGATGGTTGTTGGTGCTCGTGCCGTTGAAAGGGTCCTGGTTGGATGGAAGGCAAGTGATTGACGGGTGAGCGAAACTGGTAATCCGTCCGTGGTGGTACAGCGTCGGGTGGAATTTCTAGATGCTTGAGCTGGATAGGCGGGGGAAGGCGTCTGTGAGGAAAATCCAAGAACCGGGGCGGTTGGAAGACAGGAAGCTTCTGGGTTTCCGTCATGTCTGGAGCTGGGGGTGGTGTGTTTGTTGGAGGAAGAGACGACAGCGGAGAGGGTGGACGTGGTGGTTGGGACATGCGTGTATTATCATTTGCTCGGACCAGGACACGATGCACGAAGCCGAATGGGGAGCTCCACTTGTGTTCACTTCGGAGGTTCCTTCACACTTCGGGAGTGCCAGGGAGTCGTGCAGTGTTGGACAGAACGTCAGGAATGCGGACACTGCGTTGAGTGTGGCGGCGTGAGAGGTTTATAGCCCAGCGTCCCCTTGTAGGCGACGCTGCACGTATCTGGATCGCCAGCAGCCAGATCGTCGCGCGAATGCTTCCATTCGGTTACGTCGACGTTGGGTGGAGGCGCTCAGATGCTAAGACAACGGGCGCCCGGGAGCGAAAGAGGATGCCGACGTGGGTGGGCCGCAGTATACCTTGTCAATAGGCAAGCCTCACGCCCACAGTCGAGAAACGCCGGCTCGGAGTATAAAACGAGCCAGGAAAGACGACGGGGGGGACCCTACGTGAACGTATGTGCTTGGCAGGCAGGCCATGGGATCAGATACCTACCTTCCTGAAGCGACGAGGGGGGTGTCTGGAGCGG